GCGTTGAGGGAGCAGGATGTGAGGGAGCAGGTCGTGAAAAGTAAAGGCAACTCTTTCAGGTGGTCTGGCTGTGAAGGGAAGGAAGGGGCAGATGTCCATGACAGGTGGGGTCAAGAAGGTGTTGTTGTTGTTGTTTTGTCTTGTTTTAAAGATGAGAATGTTGGGAAAAAAGAAGGAAAGAAGACAATAGTAATGTTAGACATTCTATAGATAGTAGGTAGCTTGGCAATTTCACTGTAAGAAAATAATAATCATGATCATTTAAATAAAAACTTTACCAAACTTTGTTGCCCAAGCTAAATGTTTGGGGGAAAAATGAATAAGGCTTGTCTCCAGCCCGGACCTTAGTAGCTGCAGCTTGGACTCAGCTGGTCTCTCTTGCAGTTGTCCCCTCGCCTTCCTAGTTCCCAAGGCCCAGGGAGAAAATGAAGGCCGTCTAAGTCATAAGTGTAGTGGAGTTTGGCATCAAAGGACTATGTGATCTTTGAGGATCCCTCTGGCTCAGAAACATGCTAATGACTTATTTCTATGATTTTTTGTTGAAGTGAAGAGAATCAAAGCACTCATGGAATATGACAGAAAACTAAAGCTGAGACTTAGCATTATGCCTCCTGGGGCGTGTTCAAAACTGCTCCACATCTTCATGCTTCCTCCCCACCTCCCCTCACCATTGCTTACAATAACTGGACCTATTGGAGACATTATTGCAGAATGGAGGGAGGTGGGAAATCCTATGGCCATCCCAAGAGTAGGATGGGTCATGGATATTTAAGAGCTCAAACAGTACCTAGAAAGATTGTCCATGAAAGATGGCCCAGGTATCCACTTCACTCAGTTAATGAGAGCAAGGGCTAGGTGAGTAAGGGAAATATTAAATTGACATGAGACAGATTAACAGGAGGAAATCTAACAAAGTTTAATAACATGCATACATGGGAGAAACCCAGGAAAACCGAGTAACCATCTTCAGGTGAACCCTCAGCTAAAGACAAAAGACAATGTTGGGGGTGGGGAGAGTCAGGGACTTCAAAGGGAAGGAAGGCAATTCACAGGTAGGTGAAAAAGAAGGAAGCAAACGTTTAGAAAAGAAGTGTTTATTTGGCCACATAGAAACAGAAGAACACAGAGGGAGCCCAACAAACAGGCTTTTCTAGGTTCCTCCCTGTGTACCACCTAGTTCATGTTATGCTAAGGCAATAGTGTGCTTCCTGAGACAGATTTTTTTCTCAATTCTTTTAGGCAGTTAAGGGGGAGGTAACAAGAAAAACTTTCTGAGTCTTTTGTTTCCTAAAAATAGTCAGCCTAAAGTAATTCTCATGTTGAAGAGACACATTTTGGGGCAGCAAATGTTGTTTGCCTTCATCTCAGTCCTTTGAAAACCGGGGCTGGCAGAGTATAAAGAGAGATGTACACAGCTCTGGTGTTAACTTCGTTTCGCAATTGCCTGAAAACAGAGTGACAGTTGCATGATTACAGTAGAGGCAGGAGCAAAAAACAGAGATGTGAGCCTGTTCTTAAAGAACAGGAGATAATACCAACGGCTCCTTTGGAAGTAAAGGAAGAGATGTGTTATCTGGTTTTTTTGTGACAAGGGGAAAAAAGTCTGCGCAGTAGATAGTAGGAGCCATCTTCTTGCATAACGATTTAAAAGGACCTTTTAAAAGTTCTTTGCCAAAATTCTGAGCAAAAGAGATCAGGGCCCATTATGCCCAGGATTCTCATTATTCCATCTCTGCTCCACTGTTTGATTTCCAGCATGAATAACAGGTCACCATTGAGCCGGATTCTCCAGGAAACAAAGAAGATGAAAAGGACGATCAAGAGATGCATCCAAAAGGGTACAGATTTCAACCAGAGAAATAACCACACCTACCTCCTAAACAGAGTGGTTGTTTTATCCTCATCTAAATTTTAATGTTTATTATGGTTTGTCAGAGATAGTCACCACCACCAATCTCCCCTCCCCATTACCCACCCAGCACCATTTTCAGAAAATTAATTCAGCTCTAGGATAATCAACATGGAAAATTCAAACAACTGATGTCCATAGAAAGAGGAAGAAAATAATGCCTCTACACTCTAGGTCCTTCTGACTGTTCTACATATTAAATTGACATCAGAGAATAACAAGACAAAGTCAAACAGAGCTTATAAAATGAATACATGGGAGGAACCCAGGAAAACTGGGTAACTCAGCCAGAATGGCTGAAGCCGCCACCTCGAATAACATCTTTAACTAAAAATAAAGGAGGGTGTTGGGGGGAGTGGTTTGGGACTTCAAAGGAGAGGAAGGCAATTCACAGGGAAATGGAAAAGTAAATGTTTGGTAGACAGAACTTTGATAAGAATGGGCTTAGCAAGGCCCTTCACAGTCTACTGATACCCAGAGTTATCTATGGTGAAGGTCTGTCCTGGGGACAGGCCTTTTATCTTAAGTTTCTTTTAGGCAGTTAGGGGGCAAGTCAAAATTTCTTTCAGAGTCTTTTGTTCTTAAAAATAATCAAGCCAAAAAGATACATTTGGGAGTGGCCAATTCTGATCCCCTACCTGGAACCCAATATCCAGACAGTCTTCTAATTAAAGGTGTAAATTACTGACTAATTGCTCCAGTCCATACAAAGTAGTTAATTCATCTTATCAATGTCAATCAACAAGCAATTGATTTGTCAAAACCCCATCCATTTCAAATCCCAACAAACTTGCTCTTACCTTGTAGTACCCTGAAGGTATTCCAGGTCCTTATCACCCATTAGGTGGGAGAGGCAAATTACTGTCTTTAGTTTTTAGAGGAGGAAATTGAAGCTCAAAGAAGTGACTTACCCAAGGTTAGTTAGCTAGAGTGGAACAAAACTAACTTACAACATCAGCTTCTGATTCCTAGTCCAAGACTGTCTGGTACTCCATCAAAACACCAAAGTATTTGCCAATATTCTAAATTCCTATTTAAATTTGATTTAATTCCTAAGGCTCTGAGGAACTTTGTTTTCATGTATCAGAAGATATCTCTGGAGTTGGTCAGAATTAGGATTGGACTCTCTTATCACATATACACCATCAAGAATATTTACCACGTCAGAAACCTGAGCTTAGTTTCATCCTTCACTTTACTTTCTGAGTCTCTGATGCTGGGGGCTGAGAGATTCTCTTGGGTGGCCAGAGGCACTCAGGTTTCACCAATGCCAATGGGATGGAAACAACTCCCAGGGGATTGGAAGGTGTTCACTCTAGAAAACCAAATGGCCAAGCGTCTGTTTCTGCCTATTTTATTTTGTGCAGTGTCAGCTTGCAGTAATGAACTGCACACATTCCCTGAAATTACGAAATCTGATACATCCACCCTACAGCAGGTGGGCGCTCCCTATTAAATGCTGCCCTTCACCACTGCTGCTTGTTAACACTATGTCCACGACTGAGGATAATGCATCATCACCCTTTCCTAAATTAGACCATGAAAAACTTAGTCTTTTTTACACTATATTCCTTCAATATCTTCTAGAATAGTGTTTCTAATTCTCGGTACACATATTCACACATCATAATGACAACAGTTTCATGAAATATACCTGCCATCACTCTGTGTGATACACTCTGAGATGTCCACTTCTCCCTTTTAATGAGGGTTATCATGTCCTATGTGACTTCACAACCCACTACAGGGTCCCAACCCACAGCTGTAAAATACTGTTCCAGAAAAGCAATGTTCACTCCCATTGCATGCATCCAGTAATTCGACAAATGCCTGTCAAGCATCCTCAGTGTCCCAGGTGCTGGTGCTGTAGGGCTCACAGACATCCATTTTCCAGGAAGTTGTAGTCAGTCAAGGCTTCATAAGAAAACACAATCAGAGAAGACAGTAGGAAGAATGTGCAGAGGATGCCTCTGCCTGAGCAGATGCAAGAAGGCTTCGTAGAAGCAAAGGCCTGAGCTGTGCCCTGAAACCTGAAGTGAGCTAAGACCTGGACACGTGAGCATGACTGTGGGAAGGAGGGGACTGGAAGCCTCAACCAAGGGGAAGGGGGCTTCCAGCCAGGGCCAGGGTCCTGTGAGGTCCTGGAGATTGAGAACCTTCTATAGGTGATGAGAAGTGCTTGTTTTAGAAATGCTGTCCGGTGGCAATGGTTAAATGTGAGAGTAAATTCCTTCCAGCCAGCCTCAAGCAGAAGAAGGAGAGGCCTCTGTTCGATGCATCATTGATGACAGAGGCACCTGCAGGAAAGCCAGGTCTCAGAGGAGGTCTGGAGGGGACCGGGAACATCCCAGGAAAAGTAAAGGACAATCGTTGTGGGTACAGCCCTGTGGCCTCTCCACACTCACTCACTGGTGGACACCTTCCTCCTCAGAAGAAATGATAAGATACAAACATTGTTCCCATACTACCTGTACAAATTGGTGACCCAGATGGGCCCTCTGTTCCTCATTCTTCCAATGATCTGGTTTCCACTGGACAGAGAACCCGTTCATGCCACAGGAAGTTGGACCTCAGGGGGAGGGACTTTCCTCGCCGTGTTGATGCTGCCAGCTTGGCATGGCTTCCCCATTGGGAGACCCACTGGCCATTCTGAGCATTTTGCTCCGAGAATCTCCTAAAGGAGGTCAGTGGCGCCAACCTCATGGCACAACTATAAGCATTATTTCTTTAAGTTGTCTCATAAAATCAGCTGCCTGAACCTTGGGTATAAGGCTGCCCCAGCCTTGAGTTTGAGTCCCAAGGTCCGCGTGTTGGAGCCTGGCTTCAGGGTTCAGATCTCTGTCTGGAGGTGGCCTGGCTCAAGGGAGTAAGAGTCCCCATGTGGTTGGAAGGATTGCGCGACCCGACCACCCCGGAAGAACCGATCCTCGGCTCTGGCCAACAGGAGCCATCCCTGCTGACTAGTCATTGGGCAGTGAGGGCTTGAAGCCCATTTGAGTTTGTCACTGGGGCTTGAAGCCCGTTTGAAGGCCCTTTGGTGTTTTGTGCTGTGTCAGTGACAGAAGGAGCTGGTATCTGGACTCACAGAGTCTGAGTCTTATCTTGTAACTGTGGTACAAGGTGGGGTTAGTCCCTGCAGTCTGAGTCTTAACTGCTGAGCCATCTGGAACAAAGTGGCTGGGCACGCCCAGCAGAGGATCCTCGTACCTCTCTGTTTCCTCAACAGACGGGCTTCCAGGCCTCTCGGATCTCTCTCAGTTTCCTTACCAGCCGTTCTTGGGGAAACTCAACGCCCCCATTCTTCTTTCCCTCGCACTTCCTCCTGGAGAGGTTCCGTCGGCCTCTCCTCTCCCAGGTCGGACCTTCCTGGGGTCCTTAGTCTCCTTAACTGTCCTCCTTCAAGAGGGCGACTTTGGTTTTGCTGGTGGAAGAAATGAGGCTCAGAACTTGAGAAGACATCTGAGGTGAGTCACGGAACTCGTAGATGACAGGGCCAAGGTACTTGCCCTCCCAGCACTTGGTCAGGTTTTTGTTTTACTGGATATTGGATCTGTGAGGGGTTTTTGTTGTTTTTATCTTTGCACTAACCTTTTCCAATAGGACTGGCTAAAAATGATGGGATTTATGTAAAATGATTACATCTCTTTTGCCTAATTATATTTTAAACTACACTGTGGGGATTGTGAGCACATATAAATCCACCCTTCAGGCAATGTTAATTAACCATGCTAAGTGAGACCTCTCCTTAAATTGGCCAAAATGGAGCAAGATCAGTTGACTGAAACTGGTGTATTTGCATTCGGAATTGGAGACAAAGCTGGCTATAAAACATTAAAAACCAATGGGAAGCCTATTTTAATTTTTTTTTTTTTTGGTGCTGAAGATTATCCTGAGCCAACATCTGTGCCAGTCTTCCTCTATTTCATATGTGGGATGCTGCGAAAGCATGGCTTGAGGAGCAGTGTGTAGGTCCACACCTGGGAAACACACCCTTGAACCACGAGCCACCAAAAGCAGAGTGTGTGAACTTAACCACTACACCACTGGGCCAGACATGCCTATTTTGATTTTTGAGGCTTCTAAACATGTTCCAAATCCTGTACTGCCTCTTTAAGAAAAAATAACTAAATAAATGTGCTGGGGAAAGGACACCCAATCTGCTGCTCCTCCCTCCTCTCTTGCTGGGCTCCCCCACTTCACCTTCTCCAAAATTCCACATCTGAAACTAAGCAAGTGAAAATAGGTAACCTTTTAAAAGTTTTTTAAAATTGTAATGGTCATTTTGGGGAAACTTTGTTCCAGAAAAGTCCACCTTAAAAGAAAGCATTCCAAACCTCTCACAGTGGCATGGATTCTTTGATTAATACACGGATGCTGCTTAAAGATAAAATAACTTTAAAACCAGCTATAAAACAGGATCCTTAGAGCAAAAAGAAAAACAATCTTTAAGACAAATCTTTAGCCATCTGAAGAGGTCACAATTTGGATCCAGCATTCTTTTAAATTTTGTGCCTGAGACGTGGCTGAAATTTTTAAAAATCTCTGTTTCTGATTGTCTACCTGTCTCTGTGTATGTGTCCAGATGGTGTCATTTCTAAAGAGAGCTCTACTTAATTGACTTAAAATAAGCGCTTAATATAAATTATTTCTAAATGTGATAAAAACTAGCCCAGATTTCTCTCAAGTTGACTTGATCTAAAATGATCTTTGGTAAATAAAAACATGTTTAAGTTTGTTGGTTTAATTAAAATAGACATGTCCTCAGAATTATCAACATAGCATGTAATGTAAACACACAGCCTTCATGAGTCAAACAAACTCGTGTTGTCTCTGTTACAGACTTTGTCAACAAAACTAATAACTTAAAATAATAGCTAATTTTGTCTGATAATTCATAAAGTTTTTATAGGTAATCTAAACAATCTTTGGAAACAGGTAAACTAAACAGATGTAAAAACGTAAAAGCTTTGGGGAGAACTTTTAATGTTAATCATGTGTTCTAATATATGTACATACAAGAACATAAAATGACGGCGAACTGCTCTGGTGTCACATAAAGACATTGTGAGTAATCTGGACGTGATCTTTAACAACAAATGTCTTAAATGCAAGGTAAGAGTTTATGGATAGACTTTTAACAATAATTATATTTTATAAAATATCTATTTAGAATAACTTCCAAAATCTTTTTGGTAAGTTAAAACTTTTAAGTTTTACTCGATTAAATTAAATGATAAAAATTCATTAAATAGCAGGATAATTTCCAAGTAAGATAAAATATCAGATAAAGGTTAATCTACTTCTGGCTTCTTATTACAAAAAAAATTAAAGATGCTCAAGTCTATTAGTAAACTCGTCCTATATTTTATTAAAAGATTGTACCATGAAGGAGCATGTTTCTAAAAATTATAAAAATTTTTTATAAATATACCAGGCTACAGAATACTAATGTAAAAGACAATATGTAATTACTTATCTCTTAGTTTTCACAAACAAAATCAAAGTCTGTAAGGGCTAAAATTCTGATTAATACATGTGATTAAAGCTACTAAAAGTTGGGCCTGGCCCCATGGCCGAGTGATTAAAGTTCCACGCTCTCTGCTCTGGTGGCCCAGGTTCTCGGGTTTGGATCCCGGGCATGGACCCACTCCACTCACCAGCCACACTGTGGAGGTGTTGCACATACAAAATGTGGAGGAAGATTGGCACAGATGTAGCACAGGGCGAATCTTACCAGCAAAACACAGTTACCAAAAGTTAGAAGGGAAACATCTTTGTAGTCAAGGAAAGTGAAAGGTATGTTTTCAGTAAAGGATACATAAAGACTAGGGATATTTTTACTTGTTTCATCAAAAAGATAAATTTGTCTTACAGTACTAGGGAAAAAAAGGAGGAAGACATGGAACAAATTCTAAATGTAAGAAGCAAGTGACACAAGGTTTGTGAAAGTAAAAACCCCAAGAAAAGAGTTTTATACATACTCAAGTTTACTAAGGTTAAAATAAATTCAATTAAATAAACGAGTTTCTGTATCAAAAGTAATTTACAAAATTAAAAATGTGGCGCGCTCTCTCTTAAAAGGATAATCTTAAAGTTTGGTCCACTCTTGATAAAGAGATTATGAAAGGTTTTTTTTCTTTACTTTTGAGTGAGTCTACTAACAACACAGACAATCTATGTTTGGTTAAAATAATTTGCTATGCTCAAGGAAGCTGAAGTCTCTCTATTAGGGTTTTCTTTTTAGACTGTTTCACTCTCTCTGTTTGCCTGTGACATTTTCTGTTGTCACCTTGATTAAATGGATAATTAAACATTATTTCCTATTTGACCAAGTGTTTTAAAACCTTTTGATATTTTTTGACAAATTTCCCTGAGGTTCAAACCCTAAGTAAAGTCTTTCTTTTGAGGGGTTCCCAGTGGGGCCCTGAGGACTTCTCAAAGAATTTGTTCTCTTTATTTTGTGAGGAAGATTGCCCCTGAGCTATCATCTTGTTGCCAATCTTCCTCTGTATGTTTGAGGAAGATTGTTGCTGAGCTAACATCTGTGCCAATCTTCCTCTATTTTATGTGGGGTGCCACCAAAGCATGGCTTGATGACCAGTGCTAGGTCCAAGCCCAGGAACTGAACCTGTGAACCCCAGGCTGCCAAAGCGGAGTGTGCAAATTTAACCACCATGCACTGGGCCAGCTCCTGTTCTCTCTTTCTATAAAGAGGGCAATATTAGACTAGTTAGGCTTATTTGTTGTATTAAATTACACAAAATTGTCAAATAAATAAGAATAAACCTTCTTAGGTTATATCAGGTGGGTAAATGTTACTGATATAAATGGTTCTTGATACCTGTTTCACATCTCAAAGTGCTCCAGATATCTGTAGGAAACTCCAAAAACTGACAATAGGGCCTGATACCAGTTCTGTGCAGTTAGGGAGCTAGCCTTCAGGGCGCTCAACATCTGAGATATGACAGAAGAAATTACAGATGACCAGGAGATGCAGAGGCAAGCTATTCTGCTCACAGTGGCTCTCCAGTCAGCTCGAGGTCACCCGAGGGAGAAGAAGAAGACGCCAAGGGTGAGTGACGCTGACTCCCCCACCCCCACAGGACCAGAGGCCACCAATGAAGTTGGGGCCTAATCAGTGTGTAACTATAGACAAGAAGTGCATTGGGATTGTCCAAACCAACCCGAGAGAGGGAAGGGATCAGACAAGACCAAGCCATGGCAATTGCCCATGACTACAGATGAGATATGATGGGGCCGTGGACCTCCAAGGTTGGCTCCAGGCAACTAGATCCTCATCTCTGGGTAACCTTAGCAGTGGGAGAAGAGCATGTTGAATTTTTGCTCGATACTGGGCCACACGCCCGGTGTTAAATACCCAAAAAGGAAACCTTTCAAAAAAGAAAATGTGACAGACAAGGAGTATCGGTAGAGGAGAGACCAGAAGGTTTCTGGAGCCCTTGGCCTGTGAAATGGGATCAAAAACATTAAGATGCTCTTTATTATATATATCAGAATGCCCTGTTCCTCTCCTCAGGAGAGACATGTTATCAAAACTGGCGGCCTTGATAAACTGGGAACAAGACAAAATAGAAATCCAAGCTCCCAAAAATTGTGAGGTCGAGCTCATGGCCTTGTTACAAAACACACCAGTACCTGAAAAGGAAGAAATTCCCCAAACATTCTAGGCTGAGTCAGCTCAGAGATATGGACACAAGGACAAATGGGACAGGCAGTCATTGCCATTCCTGTAAATGTGGTCTTAAAGCAGATAGGCCACTGGCCTCTCACATAACTATGCCCCCTAAAGTCAGAAGCCATAAGAAAAATCCCTCCTGTAGTTGACAAACTTTTAAAACAAGGAATAAGCCGGCCACATAGATCCCCATGTAACACTCCCATTTTATCCATTAAAAAGCTGGGAAAAAGGGAGTACAGATTTGTTGAAGACCTTAGAGCTGTCAACAAATCAGTCCAAGACCCACATCCTGTAGGACCTAATCCTTACACCTGCTGGCTAATCTCCCTGGGGCAGCATGTTTCAGACAGTGCGAGATTTAAAAGATGCTTTATTTTACGTCCCATTGGACCCTGAGTCCCAAGAGATTTTTGCCTTTGAATGGGAGGACCCAGACTCCTACCGGAAACAACAATACTGCTGGGCTGTCTTCCCCCAAGGATTTAAAAACTCCCCTACAATTTTGGGGGGAAATCCTTGGCTGAGATTTAAGGGAATTAAAATTAAAGCAAAGGACTATATTATAGTATGTGGCTGACATCCTAGCAGGCAGTCCTTGTAAGAAAATCTCTGATGAGAACATAGGGACCATGTTAAACCTCTTAGCTAGTAAGGAATATAAATTTTCTAAGGGAAAAACACTGATATCTAAAGAGACTGTAAAGTATTTGGGGCTTATTATTTCAAAAGGGCAGCACAGCCTTCCCCAAGAGAAGAAAATGGTAATATATCAACTTCTCCATCAAGAAGATGTAAGTAGCTATGAGGACTCTTGAGATGGCTGGGTTCTGCCACATGTGGATCCCTAATTGGGGTTGATTGCTAAGCCTTTCTATGACAAATTACAGGGGCCAGAAATGGACCCCTTTGAAAGGAATAAGCTATGTGACCAAGCTTTCAATAAGCTTAGAAACTTACTAATAGAAGCACCTGCACTGGCCTTACCAGACCTGAGCAAACCATCTGACTTCCACATTCATGAAAGAGAAGGAATAACTCTGGGAGTATTATCCCAAATATTGGGACCCTTAAAGAGAGTGATAGCCTGTTTCTCAAAGCAGCTAGACACCGTGGCAAAAAGATGGCCTTCATGCCTGAGAGCTGTAACTGCCACCTCCCTGTTAACCAAGGATATGAACAACTTAGAGCTATGCCTGGTGACCCGCAGACTTACCTCCAACCAGCGGGAAAAATTCTACTCCTCTACTGGCCCCTATGACAACACTCATGCTCAGGAAGAAGTAATTACAGAAGATGGACCTTTGACTCATGCCCTCAAGAATGAGGAGCAGGATAAAAGTAGAGGAGGGATTCTGTCACCAGCCCTGGACTGTAGCCTGCTTCTCTTGTCCTGCCTAAATTCTAACCTTTTGTGTTTGACCTAATTCTCTTGTCTTCTTGAAAGGTGCAGGCATTCTTCTCTCCAACAACTTTGGGGTCTTGAGCTTATGCGCTTTCAGCTATGCACGAGGAAGAAGCTCTAAGAGACAACTGCCCTGGACCCAATAGCTCTGAATCAGATAAGACTGACAGGAATGACACCTACGCAGACAGGTGGGGAGTTGTTCTAAAGTAATCTGCCATCACTAACATCGCAAATTCTCCTCTGGGAGGGACAAAGCAGCCATTTTTAGATCACGTGATGCATGTAAATGCATGATTTCAAACTACGCATGTGCAAGCTTCTGCCCACCTCTACATGCGATGATAAAACTTCCCCTTTGAATGTTCATTCCCTACCCCAAATAAAGGTACCCACCACACTGTGCTCAGGGAGCCATGGCTTTGTGAATTATTCCCTATGGTCTCTGTTTTCTTTCCTGCATGCCGCAAACAAAATTTCTGCTTTGTGTGACAACTACTTCTGGTGTAGATTGATTAACTTGCCAAGTAGGGGACACATGTTTAGTCTGGAAACATACCCACCATAAACAAACTCCATACTCATAACGAAACTCTGGACAGAAGCAAAGACCTGCCAACAATTCTAGAACTTTCTGAGGAAGCTATGTTACAACATACTGGTTAATAGCTCTCAGATCCACAAGATCCTACTTTATATTCAAGCACCCAGTGAGGTCTGTCAGCCTCCTGCTAAAAAGTACGATGAGCGAGGACAGGGGACAACCAGCTTCCTCAAACTTTGTGTAACCAGAAGGGATGACAGTTCATTGGATTTTTTTTGTCTTTTAAATCTCAACATTTAATAACAGTGTCTTAAAAGCTAATGTAGGCCCTCATAGTCCGGTGAGAAACACCCTCGTCCTGTGATTTATTTTCAGCTTTTGGTTAGTTCTCCATCTCCCTGCTCCATTTCCAGGAGCACGTTTTCTCATCTCTGTAACCCCTCAAGGGCTGGCACATACAATTCAGCAAATCACATCCATTCAGCAAAGGCAGATCCAAGCCACGGCTGCTTTTAGTCTAAAATGAAAAGAGTTTCCCGTTTCTACATTGTAGGACACGCACTTCTTGAGTTTGGTCATTTGCTTGCTTGATTTACAAAGCCCCATCCACCCTTAGCTGCCAGTTTATTTCATGATTTTGGTGTTGACTTCTGCCTGCATTTTTGCTTTTGTCTTCTTACAGGTATCTGGAAAGGAAGTATGGTACAGTTCGGGATTTTTCTCAGAAACACAAAACCACCCTTTGGTACATCTTCTGGGGCATCTTATTAGCAGGTAAATAACAAAGGGGGATGAGATAGAAGTGTCTCTTTTTGCAGATCCCCCAAATATTAGCTGTACTTGCCTCCTACAAAAACAAGTGGCAGGCCACATTTAACCTGCAGACCATGTTTGCTGACCTTTAGCAGGAAACCTTGCTGTTCTTATCCTACAACTTCCTCTTCAAAAGCAGCCCCCTTGGTAATTGCCCCACCCCTTCCCCTTTCCTGTAGAGATCCCAGGACACTTAGATATTGTTGGTGGGTCTGTTTTCCTATTCAAGATTAGGCCAAATCTGAGCGGCAAACCAGCAAAATCAATACCTTTAGTGAGTGGTGGCTTCAACTCCTGGCCTTTCTCTGACGGAAGCTCACCTGCCGAGTCTGAAGGCCAGAAAAAAGTGGTTAGTACTGAGTGAGAGGCCCAGGGATGAAGCATCAGGATTCGAGAACTCAGAAGGTTCTATGAGAGAAGAAGATCTAGCACGCTGTCCTCCTAGTCTTCATGGTGACATTGTTAGGGACTTGCTTGGAAAAACAACGGAAGCCCCCCAAATCCACTACTTATAATCAGAGGAGCCCACAGCCCTATCACGAGCTCTCCCGCCTTCAATGCTCCCTTGACTGAACCTCCCCTTGGCTGAGCCGATTGGTGCTGTGGCTGGTCTCCAGCTGGTGCTGATGGTCCCCATCTGTGTCTGCTTCCTGGCAGGTTACCTGGCTATGGTGATCGCCGCGTGTGCCCTCAACTTTCACCGAGCCCTTCCTCTCTTTGTGATCACCGTGGCTGCCATCTTCTTTGTGGTCTGGGATCACTTTATGGCCAAATATGAGCATCGAATCAAAGAGCTCCTGTCTCCTGGCAGAAGGCTTCTGGACAGCCATTGGTCCTGGCTGAAGTGGTAAATGCAGTTGGTTCTCTTACTGCCATTGAGAGGGAGCTTAGTCTTTTCGAACACTCTTCCAAAACTGTGTTCTGAAATTCCTTCCTCATTTAGGGGATATTGAAGCTAGAGACAACCTAGGGAATAATCTGTTAAAATCCTTTCCTTTTACAAACAGGAAATCAAGGCCTGGATAAGGTGAGGAGTCGTTCGAGATGTGTTCAAATGTCCCTACAAACTGCCTTAATTTCAACTGCCACTAAATGATAAGATGTTCTCCAAAGGATGGGATGGTTCTTACTTGGGGAGATGACCCTCTGCTCTAGGCATGAAGCTGGCCCCCTTGGGAGGAAAGGTCTGTGAATTATTAAAGCCAACCCTCTCCTACAGGAGCCCATGGCCTGCAGGTGACCACTCAGAGTGTTTCCCACAGCCTCTCTTTGTGGGACCTCCTCTCTCTCCAGGTGGCCCTGCTGGGTGGGACGCAGGACCCATTCTCCTCAGTATGGCCCACCTGGGACCTACCAGGAAACTTCACACATCCTTGGCCTAATAAACCAGGGTTGTGCAATCCCAACACAGCACCCTTTCTGGTTCTGCCATCCAAGCTGTGAGTCAGCCTTGTCGTGCCCACCTGATTCCCCAGGGAGTTGAATCCACTCTAAAGTTCAACTTGGTTCTCTGGGGCTCAGGTGACGGCTCTCCCTTAAAGGGAAGAAAGTAGCACCTCAGCCATCTTCCAAAATGGAGATGAGGACTACCCATAGATCTCTCAAAGAAATCACTAGACTTCTCTCCAAACATCCTTTCTTCTCTCTCACCCCTTTATATATCCTTGAAGGGTCCAAGGGTTGTGGAATGAGGGTGACACATTGCTTAATCTTTTGGCTATTTGCCTTTATAGCCACAACAAAAGAGGGTCTGTTGCAATTTCTAGAAGCATAACTTCTGGTGCCAGAGTGTGTTAATCTTAATATGTTTTGTTTGTTAGTTTAAACCTGATTATGATTTTCAGGCTAGCACTTAAATGCGACAAATGTTGCCACAAATACAACAAATGATGCCCCATTTCTGGTTCTCTCAGGGTGATTTGGAGCTCTCTGATCCTGGGAGTTGTTTTCTGGCTGATCTTTGACACCGCCAAATTGGGCCAACAGCAGCTGGTGTCCTTCGGTGGGCTCATAATGTTCATTATCCTGATGTTTCTATTTTCCAAGCACCCAACCAAAGTAAGTATCGATTTGATCTTTTTTGGTTTTTCTCTCTCTTTTTTTCTCATGTGTAAATTGCTCAAAATAATGAGTGTGAGAGAATTGAACTGTTATTCAGTGTTTTTTCTTACCTTGTTTTGATACTTTGAGTGGCTAGGGGCCCTTCTTTCTGAACTTTCATAGAATTGTCAGTTTCTCATTGTTCATTCTCAGTCATTTTCCAGTCACATAATCAGTGAGATGTTCTGTCCTGTCAAGTCCAGCTTCTACTCGTGTACCTTCCTCTCCCCATCACATACACATTCAAAGAAAACTCATCCATTTTGATCCAGATTTCCCAGACCAGTAAATAATCTAATATTCTACGATGGGATTCTGCAGTTTATCAAATTTATGTTTGCAATCTTGGCTATTTTACTCCAAAACTTTGTCCTTAAATAGTTTTGTTCACATTGAATTCCAGCTTCATCCTTGTTCTGTTAGTCAGTAACCCAACACATGGGCAAATATTCTGAGACATCAGTTGTTCACAAATGACTCATAATGGCAAATCCTGGAAGACTTTACTGACTGAAAGCTTCACCCCTCAGAACAAGCATTAGTCAGAGACCAAAGCAACCTAATGTGATCCAAATTCTTTGCCCTGTGAACATCTCTGCTGTGTTCTATGCCTCCAATACCATAGTTCTTTGCAGGCCACTCCTCTCTGCACCAAAAATGAAAGCAGCTGATTGTCCATGACTCTGCTTTCCCTGGGTCTGGGTTAGAGATAATTGGTTCCTTTTACAGTGAAATGAGAGCCCCTTAACAGCATGGAATGTCTTTCACTTAATTCACTTACAGTTTGTCAGATCAACAAACCTAGGATGCACAGAAAAGTCCTGTTCTGCCTCTCCATCTTCCAGAAGGGGAAATAATTATAGGTATCGAATATTTACACTGTGACCATCAAGGATAGATCCTTCCTCCTTATGGCCCTGCTAAGACTACTCTTTGGGTCTGAGTTGTTTTATCATGACATCATGGTTACAGACTCCCCTGAGAATGAAGGCTTCAAACTCAGGTTTAGAAAGAGGGAATACAACCCTGAGATTTCTGGGTATGAGTCTATCAAGGGACTCTCTGCTTGTGACTGCTTGGGCATCCCAGAGAAGGTGGGTCACAGGCCACGAGTGAGAAGCTGCCAAGGAAATTGTGATCCTCTGGGTGTTTATGCTGAGGTCAGCATTCATCCTCTAATAAGATACATCTCTCTCCATCTTTCTGCATAGGTTCGCTGGAGGCCTGTCTTTTGGGGAATTGGGTTACAGTTTCTTCTTGGGCTCATAATACTAAGGACTGGCCCTGGATTTATGGCCTTCCAGTGGTTGGGCAAACAAGTTCAGGTAAGTTGGGTTCAAAAGAACATCTTGCTTTTACAGTGCTTCTAACATTTGGATATAACCCTTAAGATATATCAAAAATAGGTTTATTTATCTCCATGAGTTGACATAAACTTTAATTTTATAGCATGAGTTAGACAATTTTGTGTAGAAAATGTTAATCTGTCCAGTTCATTGATACTATTGTTGCCTCTCACCCATACCATCCACTACATCTCTCCCCTATCCTGGTTGCCCCCTTCATCCTGCCCAAGGGATGTCACACTTCTAAGATGGTTCCACAAACAGAGAGACAGGTTTTCTTTGTATCTAGTGGTCAGCAGTGCCACCCATGTGCCATTTATTGCTTCTGGAGCAAATTACCACACCCAGCTTACTCTTCAGCACCCTAGAGTCATATTGAATGTTAGAAACGCCGGGAAATCTGTGCGCAGTTATAGTTCAAAAATACACTTCCATGCCACCCACTGGAGGGAGAAAAGCTGAGAAAACTAACTCTCTAAGTCTATCCAACAAGTGAGCTGGGTCCTCACCCTCCGCAGAGCCTGGTGGGTCCTGGGAACCGTAACCACCGCTTCAGGGGTTATGATGATCTGCTCTTGTCCTTTCTTTATCTCAGACCTTCCTGGAGCACACTGACGCTGGTACTTCCTTTGTCTTTGGTGAGAACTACACAGACCACTACTTGGCATTTAAGGTAAAGTCAAACCCTTTTCTACGGAGTCACGTCCTTTTCAGTAAATTCTCAGTCTTTGTGGATGTTTGGATAGAACCCAACTGCCAGAAACCAGGCGTACAGCTGCTGGGCACATCATAGGTGCACAGCACACCACTGTCCTTTCTTATGACAATTTTATCTGAAGTCATTGCAGTGTAAATGTTTTAATTTGTTACTATAGCATTAAGGGAAACATCTAGAGGACACAGAAATGTTCAAATACTTTTGGAGGGCTTGTAGTGTTGTCTGAGATACTCATGAAAAATCATGTGGGGAAACAGTATCTGAGATTTCAGGGAAAAGATCATTTGGTACCTGGCCATGAACAGGCATATGGCCAATAATGGCTGCTAGGTCCAGGATCAGTGACAGGTGCACCCTCAGGAAATCCTCAGTCCCAGGCCAACCAGGACAGCTGGTCACCCACATCAGCCTCTGTTCTTCCAGAACCAACCTCGTGCTAAACCGTTCCCATTTTCCTTCAGCACAGCCTTTGCCTAGGGAAGCCTGGGGACTGGGCCTTCTCTGAGCCAAAGAGGGATGTTATTTTACAGGGGAAAGGCAGCCTGGCCCCATGCCCGGGCCTCATTGATTCCCCCGGGGCTCCCACAAGCCCCAGGAAGTCACTGTCCTCTGGGAAGTCCCTACAGATGCTGGTCAATGAGTCAGAAAGATGCATTTGGCTTTTTCTTCAGTTTTTATTTTTGTGGTGTATTATTGTTCCTACACTTCTAAACTGTCTTCTCACGTAGGGACTCCAAATTTACCTCCAAATTACCCCAGTTTCAGTTAGGCTAACTGTTAGGCTCTATATTTTTTTCAACTGCTGTTTTGATGCTTTGGTGCTGAGATAACTAAGCCATCTCTGAAAGGTTGAGTGTTTACAAATTAAGATGGAAATATGCTCATATCGTGATCTGAATCCACATGGGAAAAAATAAAGTCACAAAGAAGGTGTGACTTGCTGCCCAGACTGCAGCAGTGTCTCAGCCCTCCCGCCCGCTCCCCCCAGGGCAGTAGCCTCCATCCTCTCTGCCAGCACAGAATCCCTGTGGGCACATTCGAGGGATGAGCCCCTTCGACTTCCTGAGGCTTTCAGGAAGGCTCTGCCTGCCCATTAAAGCCAACAAAAGCACGTAAGAGTGTGAGCTCTGAATGACGGCGCAGAAAGTCTTTTAATATATGGTATTAATAGAGTTTCCTAAATTGGATCCTGTACAAATTGTCCTCCGTCATTCTGAGCCTCTGGTGGCAGCTTGTCCCTGGCCCTTTAGCTGGGGGGGAAGGGAAGGGGTGGGGAGGGGTATGGGTGGGGAGGGACTGAGACCGCAGCTCTGTGTGGTCTCTGCAGGGGAGACACAGCTCCCTGTAGACACACAGGCTGCACTGAAGGCACCCAAAGAGCATCTGGAAAATAGGACCTAGGAAAGGACAACCTTTGTGAACACAGATGTAAGCTAGTTTCCAAAATTTAACCATTTGTTAGTGATCAAAAGTTTATAAGTAAAATAATTTTCATTCTAAAAGCTAAAAGAGTGGATGCTTCCTCTGTAGGAGGCACTGTGTGTGTGGACCTACTGTGCTCTATCTGATCTGTGCAGCCACTTTGAATAAGGATCTGAGGTTGCTCGCACTTAATCGCGACCCAGGTTACTCTGCTAATAAGTGGTGAAGCTCATGTCTATTTAATATCAGAACAAGAACATCTGCCAGTGGCCTTCAGTTTAGTGAGCCTAATTATTACATATTCCCCCAAAACTTTATTCCTTCTCTGAGACACTAAAGGAAGAAAAGATCATTATAGCAGAGGGGAAAAAATGTCATCTTTCCTGTGAAATATACTCAAGCTTATCCAAGCAAATTAGAATAAGAGACTGTAGATGGGGTAGCTGCCTGATAAAGTGTTGTTTAGTGCCAGAAGATTCCAGTATTTTTATGACGTTTCAGAGGGGAAAAAGGAGCTAGAAAGAAGGAGACTGATCTGAAACCTACTAATACTCCTGAGGCCAACATTGCCCATGATTGCTTCCATCTCCCCCTCCAGTACCTGCCTATGCTGGTTTTCTTCAGCGCCATCATGTACATGCTCTACTACCTAGGACTGATGCAGTGGATCATTAGAAAGGTACGGTACCAGAGGGATGGGTGACAGGTGTTGAGCTGATTCTTTCAGGGACAAAGTCCTAAATACCTTTCATCCAGAGTTTTCCAAAGTGCCTCTCTCTTCATGCTAAGATCCAACCCCCTCCCCAAGTTATTAGATTCAAACCCCAAAATCCTACATGTGTCCCTAGAGGGAGGTTTATCTTGGGACTTCTGACAGGGCTTTGACTTGCAACCCACTGATATCTTCATGAAACCTTAGCAATTACTTCTTCTTTTTTTTTTTTTTTTGAGGAAGATTAGCCCTGAGCTAACTACTGCCAGTCCTCCTCTTTTTGCTGAGGAAGCCTGGCCCTGAGCTAACATTGTGCCCATCTTCCTCTACTTTATATGTGGGATGCCTACCACAGCATGGCTTGCCAAGTGGTACTTTGTCTGCACCTGGGATCTGAACTGGCGAACCCCGGGCGGTGGAGAAGCGGAACGTGCGAACTTAACCCCTGCGCCACCGGGCCGGCCCCAGCAATTACTTCTTTAGCCACAGAATTGACTCCCACAGGTCCCACACCTGCCTGGGAAAACAGCACTGTCCTCCATCTTGGTGACAGCCCTGTGCCTTACACAGAGTCACTGATTATCTGCAGGAGGTTCCTAAAGGGGGCACTCTCGGCTGGAAGCTGCTAGGGAATCAGAGCAAGAAGGGGAAGCTGCTTTTCGCTCCTCAGGGAATTTTATAAGCACACAGATTTTTTTTTTTTAAGTCTAAAAAGTTAATCTCTTTCCTGCTGTCCCAGGAACTGTCAGTCCTACAGTCTCGTTAGACCAGAGAACTATGAAAGGTGTAAGCCGGTTTGAACACACACGAGAGTGAGGCCGTGCACACAGGGTTCGTGCACAACCCAGCCCTCCTTTGATCCCTGTCAATAAATAAAATGGAGAGAGAGAGAACCAGAATTTCAGCAGAATTCAGAATTACAGCAAGAGCACCAGGGCCCGCAATTTTCCAATTGTAGATTTAAGCATTCAGAATTACTGTGCCCATGTCTAAGGAGAAAGAATGCCACAGGAAGTCCCCATCCTGAGGTGGGCACCACAGTCTCTGGTTGGAAGGGCCACTATGAAAGTGGGACCATAAACCGTGTTTGACTGAGAGTTAAGTAGAAAAGGCCAGATGTCAACTACACTCCACTACTTGTTAGCTGGGTGGTTTTTGACAAAACAGTTAAACTCTTCTGTGCCTCAGTTTCCTCTTCTGTCAAATGGGCATAATTATAGGACCTCCCTCAAAGGGTTATTGTGTGGATTAAAGCATTACTCAGATCAAGGGCTCAAAACTGCCTGGAATGCAGTAAGCCTGCCGTGACTGTCAGCAATTATTATAACTTATGACTTGTCCACAACGTTTCAGTAGAAATTCATTCGCATGATGTTGAAAGTATGTGCAATGACTCAGACTTACCCCTCCAATAGGAGGGTGTGATTGGCCTGCTCTAAGGACTAGATAAGATGTCCTCACAGTTAGGACATTGCTGGCCTGCCGACAGTTGTTGAAGGCCTCAGCATTTTCCTCCAAAGACTTTTATCCCTACTTTGAAGTTTTGTGTGTACAAATAGCTCTTCACTGACTTTGTCCCTTGTCCCCTTTTAGATTGGATGGGTCATGCTGGTTACTATGGGATCATCTCCTGTTGAATCTGTAGTTGCAGCCGGCGGTATATTTGTTGGATTTGTAAGTTGTAATATCAAAAAACAAAAACAAACACCTGTTAAAATGGATAAGCTTTCCAGAAAGCCAAATAAAAAAATATGATGATTTTATTTCTCTTAGTGTAGAGGGAAGACTGTTAAAATAAGGATCCCTTAACATTGACAAAGTCTAGATTCCAGAGAGAGAGAATAAGAGAGAGAGAGAGAGAGAGATCCCTTCCAAGAGTCTCAGTGCACGAACGCGGCATTGGGGTTCTGGAAATTTGATGGAGAGGACGAAAGATTGAGGCATTTTGTCAAAGCATCAGAGTTCTCATGCACAGATGCTCAACCAATCTTTTCTGAATTTATAGAATTGTTGAGGCCTCTGGCCCACCCTTCAGAGGCGAGCAGCTCATTTACTCACATGGAGTTCACTGCTGTCTTGAGCCCGAAAACCCGTAACAGGCAGCCTCACATGCTGTAGTGTAAGGCTGGGGCGATGAAAGAGACCAGGAAAGGCTCCCACCGACAACCGTGCAGCTGTATAGATGCCTGAGTTCATTCTCAACTTGACTGAACTGGCCAACAGTCTGTCTTTGCTGAGCCTGAGGAACAATGCTGAGGAGCAAAAGCATTTTCACTCGCTGATCCATCCCATGGTTAGATGCTCTTTTGCCTGAAGTCCATTTAAGCAAAGAAGTATGATGCAAAAGGAGTATCTCTGAAAACAGCGGTATTCCTAAGGGACGGATGAGTGAGAAATAGTAATAATCATCCTCATCATCACTCTACACATGGAACTTCAGGCAGAAGGGAGTCACATACCAAGGAAACCAAGTGTGAGTGCTCACCAGCATGGCTGCCCAAGGAAGTTGGATTTGAAGCAAAAATAGTCCCCAGAAAAACACATGGCCCTGGATCCCAGGCTTACGACTGCTCCAGGCAGCTGAGCCTTCTTATCGGCCAGCCCAGCTTGCTAACCTGGGGCACAGCGTTCAGAGCAGGGCCCATGCTTCCTTCCCTAGGAGTTGAGATTATTATAATTACAGTAGTAAGATCTCTCTGGACTAATTAGGGCACCATCTTGAGTTGATTCCTCCTACCTGCGGGGTAAGAGGGCTCATGTACTGAATTTCTATTCAGTCCATAAATAGACGCTCAACACATTCACTCTTACAGAACAATTAGAAATAATAAGGAGAAATTGTAAAATTGCACACATGCTCAATTTGATACCTAATATGCTAAAGTTCAGCTATTATTTATGAAGAGCCCCAGGCTGCAGGCCGCCTGCCCTCCTTGATGGGACTCAAGCCTTTACAACTACATTCTACCTGATTCCTTTCCACCCAAGGGGAAAAAGGGGTCTCTGATTCTCAATTAGGGAAAAGCCTCTGGGCACCTGTCCTTGTTTATTTTTTCTGCTTGTGTCTCTATTTCCCTGCAGTGTCAGCAAAGAGGTTTAAGGTCAGTCGAGATGAAGCTGGAAGATGGGAAGTCACAGAGGCTTGGGAATCCCCAGTTCTCAAGGCCAGGCCACTGGGCAAAGGTTCTTGGCCAATGATTTTCCAACCTTAGAAAAGTGTCCCCAGCCAGCAGAGTCCAGTCCCAGGCTAGGTGGGGGCCTTGTGTGAATCGGCCTTGCAAACTCTGCAAACTTTACACATGATTCTGTCCACACACTGACCTAGAGTTCAAATGACTCAGACAGCCAGGGCTTTCAAACTTGTGCATGCCTCAGAATCACTTGGAAGGAGGTTAAAACAGGATTGCTGGCCTCACCCCCAGAGTTTCTGATTCAGTAAGTCTGAGAATTTGCATGGAGTTCCCAGGTGATGCTGATGGATCTGGTCTGATGTCTTTTCTTAGAAACACTGCTTTAGAGGATGGAATTTTGAGTAGATTGGCATACCCTCCTTAGACTTAAAAGGGAACACTTAATCTTCTGTCTGTTTCCAGACGGAGTCTCCACTGCTGGTCCGACCGTGTATACAATACGCCACCAAGTCTGAACTCCATGCAATCATGACAACTGGGTTCGCTACCATGGCTGGAAATGTCTTAGGCCTATACATTTCTTTTGGAGTAAGAATATTTGGGGATCAATTTTTGGAAAATACAACCTCTTCTTTCTTTGCTATTGTCATTTCCTTTCTTTTTCTTTACCATTGCTTCTGGATGAGGAGGCCAAAAGAGTGTCCTTTTTGCTGGATGGTTGGTCACAGTTCCTTTGGCATTTGAATGGAGTCCCCAAAGGAGCTTTGGGGCTTCACTTTTATATCCCTGCCACCTAAATGTGAATCAGATCCAACCATGGCAGAATGCAATCATATTATGAGGCTACTTTGGCTGAAAATATAAATATGTAAAAAAACACACACCCTATTACACTAGTAAAGGCAATCTAAACCAGAGATCAGCAAAGAATGACCCATGGGCCAATTCTAGATCACTGCTCTTCTTGTAACTGAATTTATACTGGAAACCAGCTGCTCCTATTTGTTTCTCTATGGCAGCTTTCATGCTACAGAGTTGAGAAGGTCTGTCACTGGATCCCCAGATGACCCACTCTCCACCACTGTGGGAACACCGCCTGCAGAAATGTGCTGGGTGGAATGGGAGTGGGGGTGGGGTGCTGATTCTGGAATTCTGAAAAGAAAGGGAAGAGAATCCAGAAACAATAAGGGTGTGGGGAGGGGAGGGGAAAGAGTTTAAGTAGACCTGCAGTGAGAAGAGCAGAGATGCTTGCAGATCACAGGGACTCTGCGTAAAGGAGTATTACATAAAGGCACAAACTTTCGGAAGAGCACAAGGAAGACAGAGAGGGTTGTATCCATGCCTGCAGCCCCAGACATCCCCATCTAAATCGAGATGTAATGAAATATGGGCTTTAGGAACTATTTGAAAATTCCAAAGGCAAAAGAAAGGTAGAGAAATCTTTGAAAGTTCCTACAGTACAAGATTAATTCTCTTCTAAAATAATCAGACTTTGGTTTTGTGCCTCTCTCCAGGGATGTGGTCATTTCTCACAAATTCCTCCCTCTGACTGTCACGATGATGCCAACTTGGCTCCCTGAGCTCCTCCAAGCCTCCTAAGAAACATTGTTTTCTGGCATAGTTGCAATTCCTGCCCTTCTTTTCCCTTGTAAGGCTTTTGGGTCATTCTTTCTGAACACAACAGAAAAGCAAAACCTAAGTTGGCCTTCTTTCTCCTAAAATCACAGATTTCACCCACGCATTTATTAACTGCTTTAATTATGTCTGCGCCCACGTCATTGGCTTTGGCTAAACTCTTTTGGCCTGAGACAGAAATATCTAAAACAACCATCAGGGATGCCATGAAAATGGAAATGGGGTAAGTGAGATACATTCACCTCATTAACGACTATACAAGCTGCGGGGGGGCGGGGCCGGGTCCACTTTCAAAAAACAGCAAAAAATTGATAAAAAGAGCATAATGAATTATGTGATTAAAGTGAATTTGATTTCCCAATGTATTAGACTTCATTCCAAAAAATCTTGTTTCAACACTTGAAAACCTTTTTTTTTTTTAACTGAAGCATAGTTGACACACAATATTAGTTTTAGGAGTACAACACAATGATTCACCATTTATATACATTACGAAATGATGACCATGGTAAGTCTAGTAACCATGTGTCACCATACAAAGTTATTACCATATTATTGACTATATTCCTTCTGCTGTACATTACATCCCCATGATTTATTTATGGTATAACTAGAAACTTGTACTTCTTAATCCCCTTCACCTGTTTCACCCACCTCTCTTCCCTCCAGTGACTACCACTTTGTTCTCTATATCTATGAGTTTGTTTCTGTTTTGTTGTTTATTTATTTTTTAGGTTCCACATATAAATGAAATCATACAGTATTTGTCTTTCTCTGTCTGACTTATTTCACTTAGCATAATACCCTCTAGGTCTATCCATGTTGTTGCCAATGGCAAGATTTCATTTTTTATGGCAGAGTAATATTCTGTTGTATATATATATATATCACATTTTCTTTATCCATTCATCTATGGATGGGCACTTAGGTTGATTTCTATATCTTGGCTATTGTAAATAATGCTACAATGAACATAGGAGCGCATATATCTTTTTGAATTAGTGTTTTCATTTTCTTTGAATAAACACTCAGAAGTAGAAGTGCTGAATTGTATGGTAGTTCTATTTTTAATTTTTTGAGGAATCTCCATACTGTTTTCCATGATTGCTGCACCAATTTACATTGCCAACAACAGTGTACAAGAGTTCCCTTTTCCTCATATCCTTGCCTACACTTATTTCTTGTCTTTTGATAATAGCCATTATGACAAGTGTGAGGTAATAACTCATTGTAGTTTTAATTTGCATTTCCATGATGATTAGTGATGTTGAGCATCTTTTTATGAGTCTGTTGACCATCTGTATGTCTTCTTTGGAAAAATGTCTATTCAGGTCCTGTGCCCATTTTCTAATTGGATTTCTTGTTTGTGTGCTATTGAGTTGTATGAGTTCTTTATATATTTTGAATGTTAACCCCAAATTGGATATATCCTTTGCAAATATCTTCTCCCATTCAGTAGGTTGTCTTTTCGTTTTGTTGATGGTTTCCTTCATTGTGCAAGAGCTTTTTAGTTTGATTTAATTCCATTTGTTTACTTTTGCTTTTGTTGCCTTTGCCCCAGGAAAGAGATCCATAAAAATATTGCTAAGACCAATGTCTAAGAGCTGACTGCCTAAGTTTTCTTCTAGAAGTTTTATGGTTTTGGGTCTTACATTCAAGTTTTTAATCCATTTTGAATCTATTATTGCATATGGTCTAAGAAAGTGGCCTCAATTCATTCTTTTGCATGTCTCGGTCTAGTTTTCTCAACAACATTTGTCAAAGAGATTGTCTTTTCCCCATTGTATATTCTTGCCTCCTTTGTCATAGATTAATTGATCATATAAGCAGTGGTTTATTTCTGGGCTCTCTATTCTGTTCCATTGATCTCTGTGTCTGTTTTTGTGCCAGTACCATACTGTTTTGATTACTATAGATTTGTGGTATAGTTTGAAATTAGGGAATGTGATGCCTCCAGGTTTGTTCTTCTTTCTCAAGATTGCTTTGGCTGAAAACCTTTCTAAATACCTGCATGTCATTACATTTCCTTGACTTCAATGTAGATATTTTATTTTAAATATAGTGTAGTGTTCATTTGGCCTTGATTTAAAACTTGCAAAACCACAGCATGACCATTTCTGGAAGTGTCTTATATAATAGAGAAAGAAGGTGTGATATAGGTATCCTTAACCCCTCTTCAGTTCATTTTCTTTTGCCCTGTGAAAAACAAAGTGAAAAGGGTGGAAAAGACTAAGGGACTTAGGATGTACAAAAGTATTTCATGAAATAACCAAATCCATCAACTAGCATGTTTCTGAGATTCGCCCCTTGTTTGTATGGAGGTGAAGTCATTACCGTGAATGAAAAAGCAGGTTGTCAAAGAATATGTATATGGAATATGTGTGATTCCACTTATAAAGTTAGCAAATGTGTGAACCTACACAACATATTATTTAGGGATGCAGACATATAGGGAAATTGAAAAGAATGGGAATGATAAGCAACTTCTAGGGAGCCAGGTACCTCTGAGATTAGAGAGGATGAGATTAAGGAAGGGCACTGGGGGGCAGGGAGATTCAAAGGTGAGAGTGACGTTACATTTCTTAGGTGATGGATATCCAGGGCTTCCTTGAATTATTAGTTCTTATACCACGAATGTTTTATAAATATTCTCTGGTAGCTACTTTTAATTAAATACAATTTTTAAAACCTATAATATTTCTATCTTTTCCCAATCTTTAAATTATAAATGTCCCCAATTAAAAGAGTAGTAAAACGGTTAGACACCCAAATGCCCATCACATACACTCAGGAATTATAAACTTGTCATGATTTCATGGAATCCAGGTGAGGGTTTTGACCAAGGCATGGGCCTGAGTGTTTGTCTCTCTGTGTGAATGAGCTCTGATTACCCCATATCTACACCTGTGATGTCCATCCACTGACAGCTCCTTGTTAATTCTGCCATTGCTATTTTTTGATAAAGTGATTCGAGGAATCTCCTAGAAGCAGCATCACATGGAGCATCCTCATGCATCTTTCTGGTGACAAACATCACTGTGAATATGATTGCCTTCCTGGCCCTATTGTCTTTTGTGAATGCAGCCCTGTCCTGGTTTGGAAACATGTTTGACTACCCACAACTGAGTTTTGAGGTATATTCTATCACATTTCTCCCGTATTTAATTTCTGCCCATCTTTGGTTAAAAATAAAAGAGGTTTGTGAATCGCCTTCCCTAATTGCCTCTAGTGCACTCTTACACCAGCACAAACCTATAATGTATCCTCTATCTTCCCACAGCTCTTTCTCTGTCTCCTGTCGCCCTCATTTCCCCATCATACAGTCATTGTCTCCATCCCGAGAATCCAGGTTATTTCCAATGACTCAATTCCCGCCTTGACTTCTAATGGATGAAGATGGACAAGGGCATGTGAAGGGATTTCTATGCCTGCAGGACACACAGAGGGGGTGGGAACAATCTCGTCAGGAGGGTGAGGCAGAAGAATGGGAGTAAAACACTACTCTAATAAAGTATCTATTTTTGGTTTTTGTAGATGATATGCTCCTACATCTTCATGCCCGTTTCCTTCATGATGGGAGTGGACTGGCAAGACTGCTTTATGGTTGCCAAACTCATAGGTTATAAGACATTCTTCTCTGAATTTATAGCCTATGAGCAGCTCTCAAAATTGGTGTATTTAAGGAAAGAGGCTGGACCCAAATTTGTGGATGGTGTGCAGCAATATATGTCGGTGAGTAAATAGGTTGATTTTTCAGTGCACTTCTTTATCACATATATACACCCATCGAATAGTTACTGGTGACTCTGTTTGTGAGGCCAGGCACTTGGGATAAATCAAATGACAAAACAGATCCCAAATCTCAGAGCTCATGGAACGCATAATGAACAGAACACCTCATAATTCTCAGTTACACTATATTAATAATTGTGTGTGTGTGTGTGTGTGTGTTTAGAAGCACAGCTAATCCTTACCACTATGATTATTTACTGTTGAGCACCATGGATGCAATCCCAGAGTCGTATGAGCTGGGACTGGAATCAATCCATCAACAATTATCGAATGCCTTCTGTGTGCAATGTACCCAGGAACTGAGGCCACAGCGTTGAACAAGTGATGAGGCCTCTGCCTTCGTGAGGCTCAGAGTCTAATGATCAGGAAGCTCTCTCCCTTTCAGCTTAAGTAAATCTATGGACTCTGAGAGACTGCCTAAATGTAACCTAGAGCCTGGACATCCTAACGAAGTAGTGAGACACAATCGCTGCTCTCCACGTAGATGAGGGAAGAGAAGCAGCGCAGGGTCTGTGTTCTGAACCTTTGAGACAAGCGCCCTAGAACTATGCCAGGACTTCAGGTCAATAGCCTGCAAGGAGATGCTCATGTCCCCTTGGCCTTGGATGGGATAAGGAAGCTCAGGTGAGGCTCTTACTTGGGCCATATTTGCAGCTGAGTCTCCAACTTCTATTTTCCTAATGAACAGAATTGTCACACACGGAAACTCCCAGGGAAATGGTGAACATTTCTGACTGCCACCATTACTCCTGGAAACAATCCATTTGGAATTAATGTCCTAGGCACATATTGGGCTTTAAAATGAAAGGGGAGGGAAAACATGCTGCCCAAGCTTCTAACTGAGATGGCCCACCTCTGAATAGCCCCACTCTTCAGCCTCCCAGAGAGGAAACATGCACATTTACTCCCACGTGTTACACAAAATGACAGCACACCCCAGGAGAGTGTTGATTTGTATGTTCTAATCAGGTCATTTGACTCACACATCTGATGTGCACAGTGGCTCTGTAGGTCTCCTGTTTCTCAAATGTTCATTCTTCAGCTGAGCACACAGTGGGGCTTGGCCAAATGTCCTCATTGTCTGGTTGCCACCACAAACCAGCTTGCTTCCCTGCCAAAAGCAAACAATAGGCTCAATTAAGTGAAATGTTTCTCATCCTCAACTGCCAGTTGCCAGGAGAGGGTAGTTTTATTAACAAGCAAAGCAAGCTCACAGGTCTGGCAGTGCTGAGCAGGTTTGTGAGCAGGTTAGTAAGAGGAGAGAGACAGGCCAGTAGAGCTGATTCGGGTTGGGGATGAGCCCAAGCAGGGCAGGTGCACAGAGGACATTTAGGAATATGAGCTCAATGGCTTCTGTAATTGATGACTTACAATAGAAAAGCACTTTGTTTTTCTTCCCAATTTCTTATTTCTAATCAACAAAATGGGGATGAGTCCCTGCAATTTCTGCTTACCAACCAAGAAGTGGTGGGGGTGTCCCAGTAGTCTCCTGGAAAAGGTACCATGTGACTGAAGCGTAAGATCTGGGTCCACAGGCAAAAACCCTGTGTTATCCATTAAATTATGCCCAATGCTGACCTCCATCTGAGGTAAGAGGTCGGAATGTGTATATTGCACTTTATTACTCCATTTTCTCTTTCTTAAAGATGATACTTTGCATGTTTGTTTGTTTACATGCAATATATTTCATGGCACAGAATTCAAAACGTACAAAAAGCTATAGAGGGAAAAGTGAGTCATTCTTCCTATTTCTCTGGCGCTAGCTCCTCTCCCTGTGCCATATTATGCTCATTGTTCTTAGCCTTACTCTTTGTACTTAATAACACATCTCAAATGCCTTTCCACACCAGTGCCTGTGACACAGTACTCTATGCACAAACACACCATAGTTTATTTTAGCCAGTCCCCTGTTGATGAACACTCTTATCGATTTTTTGCTATTGGAAGTAGTGCTACAATGAACGTCCCTGTACATAGGGCATCTTTGCTCATGTGCTAGGAGAGCTGTAGGATGTCCTATTAATTTCCTAGTTCAGTTCTTTCCATCAGGTAGTCTTGCACATTTATGGGCAAAGACAGAGTGTAATCATCCCAGCCTCCTTTTCCTCTTCTTATAAAACCCTACGTGGCCCCATCTGTGTGCCCCCTCCGCAGATCCCCCCGAAAGGAGAAAGAGGACTCTCGAGCACTTCATGCCCTCTCCCTCCCCATGGTCTCCTAATAAACTTGCCTGTTTTTGAAGCCAATTGAACTAAATGAAATGCACTAGACAGAGCAGGGGACGAGGATGAGCTTTTCCAGAAACAGTGGACTGCTCAAATACTTTACATATTTTTTCCCTGCCTGCTATATGCACGCTGACTGAAAGCATCAACAAAGGAGTTCTCAGAAACCATGAAAAGAAGAGGTGCTTGCTCAACCAAAACTTACCGTGACCACTTGAGTCTTGAATGTGAGCTTTAAAAAATCCAGTCAGTGAAAGAAAAAAAGGCGCCACCAGTTTTGAATGTTGCATTGGCCTGGTTTGTTCTCTGCACTAAATCATAGATTTTTCAAAATTTGGGGGAAAATAATAATTGCCTCAATTGTGTTGGTGCCTTTGCCATATTGGGTGTGTCTCTGGTCAACAGTGAAGTGCCCTGGCTCTTCCAAGCCTCTGTAGTCAGTCTTTCACCCTGAGAAAGAACCATCTGGCCTGAGCAGCACCTCTTGACTTCAGAATAGAATTCCAAGTCCTTTGTAGAGAGTCTCTCAATCCGCACAGCCCCTTTCTCTCCATTGAAATTCAAGGGGAAATGGAAAAAAGAGTCTAGGACACGTGTTTGCAGCAGGTGTTTGACACTGTGCACTGTACACTTATTTGTCAGTATTGATTCTGGCATAAGAATGGGAAGCCCAGTTAGGATGTCAGATTTACTAAGCTGGGTCACGCCATGTATGCATCTGTGTGTTTATGCTTATTTACAGATTCGTTCTGAGACAATTGCCACTTATGCTCTCTGTGGTTTTGGCAGAGCCAATGCCCTAGGGTTAGCAATCAAGACTCTCAGTAAGTAAAAAGAATATTCTTCAACAACAGATGTGCTGTAAATCTCCATGTTGCTCTGTAACATTATTCATGTCAGGAAAAGAAGGCCCTGCAAGGGCAGTAAATCCTTTGGGGTCTATTTGTTATCCCTGCTCTGCAGTGTAGTTCCCTGTTAGACCCAAGCTAACATCAGGAAGGATCTGCCCAAATGCACAGGTGCTTCTCCAGCCAGGGATGACACATGGCTTTCACTTCACATGCCAATTCCAATAGACTTATAACAGCCACGTGGAGAAGGATTCTGAGGTCCACTGGAAGTTGTTGGGAAACGCTGTGATTAATGAGTGATGTCTGCCATGGGCACAGACATGGATGATGACAGATGAGTTGCAGATGTTTGGGATCCTCCCTTGCGTAGCATTTGCCCTGCTGTGCCCTCAACATGCTGTGTGCACCCCTTGGGTGAACCTTAGGACTCGTTTCTTCTGTAGAGAATGGAAGCCTCTGGGCCTCTAGGTGTGGACAAACTGCTTTTCCTCCCACACCAGGGAACTTCTCTGGATGTGGAACTCATCACTAAGCTCGTAAATCTTGAATTTCCCAACTAAGTTTGAATAAAAAAAGGAAAATTCAGCTGATCTGAGACTCCAGCCCCAGAACAATTCTCAGAGGTTGGGAATTTGGAATTTTAATCAATGAGCTTCAACATTAACCTCTCATATCTGCTTCCATATTTCCCAGCACTTATAGCGTTTTTCAGAAGGGATGACATCACTGCAGTGGCAGTGAGAGCTCTGATTGCAGGAATCATCTCCTCCTTCATGATGGGCTGCATCGCAGGTACCGTTTCCACTGTGTCCTGTCCCCCTGTGCCCACAGCTCTCAGGGGGGCGGTGCCTCTAACCTGCACATGCAGCATATGCTGTGCAGAGAGCTGAGAGGCAGAGCCGTGTTAAGCATGCCGTGAAGTGAAATGTGTGGAGCATGGTGGACAAGCTAAGAAAAGAAGGAGACGTCAGTGAACTTGTGAATTAATAAAATCAGCGGTGCTCTGTTGCACTTCTAGGCATCCTCTCCAGCACTCCTGTAGACATCAACTGCCACCACATTTTAGAGAACGCCTTCAACTCCAGCTTACCTCAAAACACAACCGATGTGGTGGTGTGTTGTCAGAGCCTATTGAGCAGGTATTGTATTCTTGATCATAACCTCTTTATATCCATCATTAATTTAAAAATTAGACCTAAAGACCCCTTGGACTTATTTTTAAACTTCATAACTCTTACTTTATTTAAATATGAGAACCTTTGTGGCAATTCTAACCTCCTTTCATTTTGACGTTTCTTGGCTAAGACTAGGACCCATAGCCATCTAGTGTCGCTCAAGCATTTCACATGCCCCCTCTGTGTGTTGGGCACTTGGTGTGAATTAGCTTGCTCGCACCTTGCAGACACTGTGTAAGTTAGGCACTGTTGCTTTTTGAAGCGTTATATAAAATCAGGGCTTAGGGAGGCTTTGTCACTGACCCAAGCAAAATGAGTGCAAGCACAATTAAGATAGAAAGACCCCAGAAAATCAAGGTCTTTCTGCTCACAGAGCCCATGTGCTTAACTAGTACTGTAGTACTCTAGTACTAGTTACGAGGTGCTGCCTCCCTTTCAAGGGGATCAAGCAATGCAGGCTGTCCTGACACGGTGATGGTGATGGGCCATGGTGGATGAGGGGTTGCCAGGGCCCCATGCCAGCCACCCCATCCCTGTACCGTTTCTATTTGCAAAATTAATACTCCCACCCCATCTGCCCTTCTTAATATGCAGGTGTTTTATAAGGATTAGTTCTATCTTTCTTTGTTTATTCTGGAGGAAATAGGGGGAGTCCTGAGGCCGAACAGGATTTGAGAGTCAAAACTAATTCTTTGGTGCCTCTTTCCTTAACCCACCCTAACCTGAATGTGAGGGGGGGAAGTCAGCTTGCTGTCCTATGCTATTTTTAATGTGTCATCTTCTGCTCATCTACACTTTCTGTCTTCTAAGGCTCAGATAACTGTTTCATTCCACTTTCTACCAGCACTGTTGCCGTGGGTCCCGGGGAGGTCATCCCAGGAGGGTACCACAGCCTGTCTTCTTTGAAGACCTGCTGTGAATTGTTGAAGCCATCAACACTGAACTGCACTTGGATCCCTGACGAACTCTGAGCTCAGCCACTTCTCCAACAGAACTCCAAGTACAGATGCTGAACTTTCTGCTTCTGGGAGAAAAATAAAAGCTATTGTCCACAGATTAGTACTTCCATCATGGAGTCAGCTTTAACTGGAAAGAAGAAAAACAGGAGTGAACTTTTCACATCTAGGTCATCTTCCTCCCCTCCTCAGCCCCTTCCCGCTGAGAACTACTATAGTGTCCCCAAAGTGAGGTGTTGTCTCCAGTCCCCAAAATGTCTTCTGACCTTGGAATTTCAGGACATTTAACCAGAGTGCAGGTATAAATGACAGCTCACAACAACTGGGCTGTGACTCAGCCATACTTATTAGTGTGAGTCTCTAAGTAGCCTAGAGTGAACCACTTCAAGAACATCTCAGGTGAGGTCTCTCTGCATTCACCCTGGCTGAGCTGAAATAGCCTAACAGGGAATCTCAGGTGGACGAGGACCAGTCACATATCACCCACTCATTACCTGCCCTGAGGAAGTCCCGCAGAAATCAGGCATCCTTCAGGAGAGTGCCTAGACCAGTCCAAAGCTAGGTTTTAATTCCCGTGTGCTTTGAGTTATATCAGTCAGCTTGTGCTGAACTGTGCTGCAATAACAAATAATTCACAAAACTTGGTGGCTTACAAGTTTGTTTTTCAGTCATATTATGTGTTTATTCAGGGTCAACTTTGGCCATACTCTAGGTTGTCTTTATTTCCAGGACCCAGGCTAAAGGAGCAGCCCCTGTGTGAGGGCATGTTGGTCTTACTGGAGAGGGAAATGAAAGGTGGGGACCACATGATGGCGCTTAAAACTTCTACTAGGAAGTGACACCCTTCACTTTCACTACATTCCATTATCCAAGGATAGTCACATGACAAGCATGAATCAATGACCATAGATGTTTTATCCTGTCATAGGGAGGGATAGCAAATATTTTTTTTTTTAAGATTTTATTTTTTTCCTTTTTCTCCCCAAAGCCCCCCGGTACATAGCTGTATATTCTTAGTTGTGGGTCCTTCTAGTTGTGGCATGTGGGATGCTGCCTCAGTGTGGCTTGATGAGTGGTACCATGACTGTGCCCAGGATATGAACCGAGGAAACACTGAGCTGCCTGCAGCGGAGCATGCGAACTTAACCACTCGGCCACGGGGCCAGCCCCAGGGATAGCAAATATTTTGAAGAAATAATATGATATACCACATGGGTACATAATATCCATGTCTCCCTTCAAGAAACCAACCTGTTATAGGGCATAACTGTAAGCCTATTCATGTGCGAATTTGATTATGTTCCTGGTGACAAGACTGGAAAATGGTGCTAGTCTTTAGACAGACAGCCATGTAAGGACCATTTGAAGGAGAAAAATCTTCCATTGATACTTCCAGAAGAGCATCAGCATCAAACTTGCTTAATGGGTATCAAAGAAGAACCTTAATGTGTTCTGACACTAAATGTGTCTCAGAAGAAATTCCAGAAATAAGGATGGGATGCTCTTTAATGAAATATTCATTGTCAACACCCTTAAAAGCATAAGGACCACATTTTGTGAGAAAACACAAACAGTAATGATTGGATTAAAAGGTGACTCATACAAAAGAAAGCAAGTGAAAAAGGTTTTGGAATACTTTAAGTAATTTATTTATATATTTTCCTCTTTGTTCATGCACAAGAGTAATTTTTTTTAAATCCCTGTGTGAATAGCTGCTTCTTGTGTGTGTGATGGTGGTGGTGGTGGTGAAGGAGGGAGTTAAATGCCTACAGGACTCTTAATCTCTGAAGCACTATATATTAGGATATTTCTAGTTATTGATCATTTGTATCAAATTTTTCTTGGAACTCAATGTGTCCCTTCAGTATTTAGACTTTGTTTTAGGAAAATATATTTACCTGTCTTTCCCTCCGTTCTCAGTGCTCTGGTGTCAGCCTTCATTAAAGCCTGTGGCACAGTGTGTCAGGGACTCCAGTTATTCATAAGTTGATTCTCCATTGTCTGTTATCGCTATTATTTTTCTAACGATTTTTTTTCTCCTTTTAACTCTGTGTATTTTTCTATTCTGTTTTATTTCTAAGAATCTCTTTCTCAGAGAATCTCTTTGTTGTTTCTAGCATGCTTCTCTGGCCAACTAATTTTCAAATTCTGCCTGTTGCCATTACTGTTCCTTGGATGTTTGTGGCTCTTCTGGGAGCTTTTTTTTTTATTTCAAGGAAAACTTAATTAATGCCTTTTTTCTTTTTTTTTACTATTTTCTTCTTTTTCATTAAAAGGTAATTTCCATTTGTAATAAAAAGTGACAATATTTTACACACACACATATCTTTCTCCCTACCCTGTTCACCGCATCTCTCTTTCTAGTACCACACACCCCAGAGATTGTCAATTAGCATATGTACCTTTCTCCAAAATTATATAAGAAGATGGGGAATTTGTTGTTTCTACACAAATAGAATGAGCCTCTTTACATACCACCTTCAACTTCTTTTCACTTGGCGGTACACTTTCTACAAGTCATTATATATAGTTCTAGCTCTATCCTTCCCTTCCTCCTAGTGTGTGTGTGTGTGTGTGTGTATGTACGATTCTACGTAAATGAGATAATATACATACTGGAGATGGGAGGAAGTTAGACATTTTTATTGTCTTTCTACTTGCTTCCCTCCTCCTCTCTCCTGTCCCTGGCCCACAACACACAGGTATCCCAGGTTAAATAACTTGATGTTTTTTTAACATCATTGTACTTTTTCCTGTACTCTTTTCATGTTCAGGTTGTATTTTACAAACATATCCATCTATTGAGCATTCGGATGATAGTTTACAGTGCAGATCTTCCTTGACTTACAATGGGGTTACATCCTAATAAATCCCATTGTAAGTTGAAAATATCGTAAGTCAAAAATGCATTTAATACACTTAACCTACCAAACATTATAACAGCCCAGCCTACCTTAAACATGCGCAGAACACTTACATTAGCCTACAGTTAGGAAATACTCACCTAACACAAAGCCTATTTTATAATAAAGGGTTGAATATCTCATGTAATTTGTTGAATACTGTACTGAAAGTGAGAAACAGAGTGGTTTATGGGTATAGCATGGTCGTGAGTGTATCGGTGGTTTACCCTTGTGATCGCGGGGCTGGCTGGGAACTGTGGCTTGCTGCTGCTGCTCAGCATCATGAGAGAGTGTCATACCACATAGAGTATTGCTGGCCCAGGAAAAGATTAAAATTCAAAGTACAGTTTCTACGGAATGCATATCGCTTTCACACCATCTTAAAGCCAAAAATCATATGTTGAACCATCATTAAGTTGGCCACTGTCTGTACTAAGATTACTCACATTTCTATGCAGTTTATTTTTCTCCGATAATAATACTTTGTGGATAGTGAGGTCCATTGGAAAAACTTTCTTCTTTTCACAGGCTTCATAACAGCCCATGACATGTTATGTATTTGTCTGAGCCATTCCTCTATGGAGAAGCACTCACTTTGTTTAAAGTTTGTTTTTGACTTATTTGAATGGTGGTGGCCATTTACTGTACATACAGCTGCTTTTATTTTCTTTAGCAGTGCTGTCTGATGGATATAAGGCAAGTCACATGTAATTTACAATTTTACAGTAGCCACGTTAAAAAGTACAAAGAGATTTGTAAAGTTAATTTTAAAAATATATTTAACCCAATATATCCAAGATATTATTTTGATGAGATATTTTACATTCTATTTGTTGAATTAAGTCTTTAAAATCTAATGTGTATTTTATACATAGAGCATACCTTGAGACACTAACTTTTCATTGGCAATACTTGATCTGTACTTAGATTGCATAAAATTTGCAGTTGAAAAGTAAATTTATATACCAAGGTTGTTCCAAACATGCTTAAAAGTTTTCCAGTGGAAACTTCCATTTCCAACTGAAATGCGTATCATTTTTAAATTAAATTTTAGGTCCTCAGTTCCATATACAAAATAGTTCCATATTTCAAGTATCAGTGGCTACCATATTGGACAGTGAAATTTGATAGGATGATTTCCTAGGTGAATTGAAGTGTGTGTATATTTGGTATTAATATATGTTGCAAGATTGCTTCTTAGAAAAATATGTAGTCTTAATTTTCATCTGCTTCGTGGTATAATCTTTCTGATGTGTTTTATTCATCTACCTCTGTGTGTATGTGTGATATTTTTAATGCAACATGTTCACATAAGTCCCATGATGGTTTTTTTTTTTTGTTAATATTATCCATCCTTGAGCCGAGGATGGGGTTACTATTCTTGAGCCATATGAGAAAAGATAGTAAGGGTAAGGACTAGATGAGTGAGCTGGTGAGCACTTTAGGGTTGTCGCCTCCAGAACATTCTCAGTCCCCTGTGCATGTTGTGAGTGGCTCTGGGCTAGCTGGAAGTTTCCCTCCTCCCAGTGAAACCACTTGAGGGAGGTTTTTGGTGGTGGTGATGTCCTCGCTCTTCTTTAGTAGACACAGAGGGTGGAAGGCTGTTTGCTCCCCCCAGGTCATCCTCTACCCACCCACCCATAGTCTCCTAGGATGGCAAAGATGGAGTGTGTGTGTGGTTCCTGTGTGTTTGTTCGGGTTTTGTCTGAGGTCACTCAGGGCTGACAGCAGGTTGCTATCCGTCTATGCACCCCGACCGTGTTTCAAGCCAAGACTGTGACATGTATTTTGAAGAATTCTGTACTTTGTCTAGTCTGCCCATAACATTTGAAGACCCCAGCTTTCTCCCTGTGTCTATCTTCACACTGGTACAGTTTCCACTAATCTGAAAACCCTTCTTCAAGCATAGTATTATGGGTCCAGATATGAATTTTTCCTAATTTCAGTGAAGAAGGAAGTTTCTTTACTGCTTCTGTTCTCCTTGTTGTTCTCCATTCATTTGCAAAAGGAGATGGAGGTGGAAATGGTATTTCTCTCCCCAGTCCAGAAACCATGGTAATTAACAAATTCTCTGACCCTCCAGAGGCCATAGGGTTTCAGCCAAAAATAGACTGCCATCATGGGATATGGAGAATTTTCTTTGATTTTTTTTTCCATTGGTCAAATCAGCACATCCACACAGTTCGATCTGAGTGAG